CAGCTCCTTGCCTGCGCATCATCAAGCTCGCCAACAGCGCCCAATCTGTCGATGTAAGGCGATGACTGTGACGGCCGGGGATCGCGAGTGAGCCAGGATGTCTCAAGACGAGTCGCTTTGGTCACAGCGTCGACAAGCTGATCGGTAGTAAGCTCTGACAAGCGTTGGAAGCCGGGCAAGGGAAGTGCGCGACACCTTCGAAGGAGCCCGACTGCCAGGTTACGGAAGACAGGCCTGGTGATTGCAAAGTCGCGCAAGGGCCTACATGTCTGAGCGCCGTAGTCAGCCATTTTCGGATGAGGTGTGTCAAAAGCTTACCAGCTGCAGGGCATATATGTCTCTAAGATCGAGACTTTGCGCAATGTTGAGCAGGAGGTCGTAAGGCAAAGTGTTCAGGTTCGTTCTTTCTTGTGAAGAGGCATCGGGGTCGTGGGATGACATTCCAGTAAACTAGAACCATACAGGCCGCTTCAGCGCGCGTATAGGATGTAGGCAGGAGTCAAGGAATGAAGTACGAGGGGCTTGCGAAGAGATGCGGGGATGTCTAACTCTAAGACCACCCTGCGGCTGGGGAAAAGTTAATTACTGTGTAACTAAGTCCGTTACATTGAAGGCGTATACAAAAGCAAACAATCGACTAGTGTCACGTGACGGCGCCATTCAAGCCGGTCCGAGGATCTAAGGAATCCTTGCAGAATACAGTTCGAATTCAAGAGTTTCCAATTTGAAGCTGAGTGTGAGAGTCATTACTGAACATTTCTCCATGTCTAGGTACAAAAATAAACCCCCTGGTGATTTTCCTCCATTAATAGCGCGCAATATTTACAAAAGAAAAGATCTGCTGGATTTTTCGTGTAGAGCACTCTGTCATATGTGATAGACATTATTTGCGTGAACAGAATAGAACTGTTGCTGTACAACTGGTGCTACGCAGTGCAGGCGGCGGGTGATGGACGCGGGTCAATACTACACCTTCCTCATTAGGATCGGTGTGTCTTCATCGCTAAATCTGGCTGCTAGTGCAGAGACGAGCCCGTGGTTCCGGGCTCATCTCGCCGCGACTCCTTCGTGGATTTCTTTTGCTCTCGTCGACTCTGAAGCAGGCTGGTCAAAGGTTGGTTTCCAGGTGACCTTTATCAAGATACCGAGTTATCAACACTGCCGAGAAGACAGTGTGAATCTATCATAAAACAATACCGTTCCGCCCCATAAACATCCCACCACTTTCTTTTCATTCGCACATTCTTTCCTCTCCAGCAGTGACATGGCTCGTCGCCGTGGTGGTCCACCTGCAAATACTCTCAGTCCTCCCGACGTGACGTTTCCAGGTGCTGGTACCAGTACATCCCCCCCAGGCTCGCACTCTCCTCGTTCCGTCTCGCCTTCTGGTAGCTTCACACAGTTCCTCTCAAAACCCACGAAATGGTTCAACCGCTCGAACTCTGCTAACACAAGCAGGACTTCAATAAGCTCGAATGAGCCAAGGGCCAGCACCAGCTCAATCGGCCGCAAGCCCAAGATATCTCATCCCACGGACCCTCGCCCGATCTTGGAGAACTTGGGTCTATTGCCGGATAAGAGTGTGCATGCAGGCAGCAGGTGAGTTTGTTTCCTAGACTCTTTTATCGTGTTGAGAGGTTCTGTCGCGTCACTTCGACTGTTCGTCGCGCCGCATTCGTCTGTTTTTCGGGTTGGTTAAGCGTACACTGGTGTATGCTGTGTTGGCGTTTAGGAATGCTGTTGAGCTGCTTGTGCAACACTGACGTGTGTGCACTCACTATTACGAGTCGTCACCATTGATAACTTGGGTATACGGGAAAATGGTTCATCTCCATCCAAGAATGTATTGTGTTATCGTTCGTACATTGATTTAATTTGTTATTCAAAATATCCGCTGCACAAGCGCGTATTTCGTAGTGCAGTTACATATGGTTCATTCTGGCTTGCACGTTCAAGACACGGCAGCTCTGTTTTGAACAACTTTTGGCGATAATGGTTTCTGTGCGCGGATGTTAACTCAACGTTTGATCTACAGATCCGTACTAGACTTGTCGCTCGCTAGCAATTCGATTGCCGCTGATGACCACATCAGAGTCCATTCTTCTCGGACGCCTTCATCGCCATCACAGCCTGTATTTTCCAGAGGACTTGGCGATTTACGCAGTATTTCCCGAAAACCGTGGTCCAAGTCTGCTGATGACCTCGGCAAACTCTCTTCCCAAATCTCATCTCCTGTTCTGACGCCTATTGATACGACCTTTCATGACAAGATTGATCATTACAGGAATAACCACGGAGGCAGCATTGGCAGTATGGCCAATACGCAGTTTCCGTCCGGACCTGTACTATCCATGCAGAAGACTATCCCCTTCCCCGTCATATCTCAACCCGAGACAGAGTCTCTGTCTCCTTCCCCGTCCCAACAACTCAGCATCCAACTTTCCCCGCCTGCTGCCAACCCTTCAGGGACTGCTCTTACGCCTGTTGTCTCGAACACTAGCTCCCATGTTCACTCGCGCTCACATTCCTTCACGCCGCGACTGGCTTCGAAGCTTTCTTCCCCGAAGCTGAATCTTCAGCCACCACCTAGCCCGAAGCGAAAGGGGTCTGGCTCCTCTGATCGTCAAATGGAAAAGGAGAAAGAGAAGAAACCTTCAGGAACGAGCGGAGGATATGGCTCTTCTCGCTCACCTTTCCCGTTGAAGCTCGGTAGCGGTGGAGGCAGTAAGGCTATGTCTCCAGTTGCTGCGACGATGGCTGAAGCCATGGGTCAACCTCCATCTCCCATTGCTCTTACTCCTCCCAGGATTGTCGAACCTGAGCCTGAACAGGATTCAAAGAACGAGAAGCGGACGTCTCAGGTTGTGTATCATTCCGGTTTCGCCAACCGACTCATAGACTTCTCTCCTGTCGCGATGAACATTCGCGCAACACACTCGTATATGCATGGTGGTAGTGTGTCGACACTGTCGAAGGGATGGAAACCGTACAAACTGGTGTTGAAGGGATCCAAACTTTACTTCTATAAACCTCCGAGCGATCGAAGTGCCGCCGTGAAGGACCTGTTCCCTACGGAGCTGATAACAGTCCTCGAGGAAGAGGGACTCATAGACGGAGATGTGAGCGATTTGTTAGGCGACGAGATGAATGAGACCCAGGCTGGGAGAGGAGGAAAGGGAAGGGATGACATGCGGAGACGAAGAGCATATTGGGGCAGAGATACCCATCCTGCATTGTTAACAGGCAGTACTGGTGTCGAGCAAGGCACGTTCGAGGCCCTCGTCCATGAAATGGTCTTTGCGACGACTTTCGCACACTCATCTCCACCGACATCGGACACCACGAGTTGTGTTCCTGAAAGACAGGCAGGTGTTCCAGGTACCGACAGATCCAGCACGCCTGCTCAGATCGAAGGGATAGCCGCAGAAACGCCTCCATCACGCTATGATCCGGGCTGGTGGGATTTCGCGTCCACAGTGCTGCTCAGTTTACCGGTTTTGGTTGGCCGGGGGAAATTCGAGGGGGAATTCACTCGATGCTGTGCCTATCTGATCAGCGGGGCTACTGAAGCCATGAGAGTGGAGGAGAGCGGGAGAGTACGTTTGCTTGCGAGTCAATATCTCAACTATCACGGCAACGCTTTGAATCGCGACTCTTGGGAGGCGTGGCGTATGGAGACCATTCCAGACTTCCCTGCGGATTACGAAGTGGCTTCGCGACTTGCAGGTCTTTCACAAACCTCTTCAATGCAGGCCTTGTATACGCCGAGTCCCCAACTCGACTCGACGTCTGCGGGTCAGTCTGACTTCTCTCCAGATCTTGACGCTTTCTCCCCGCGACCAGATGCCACTAGCAAAATGATGTCTATCGTCGAAGCGCTAGGCGAGTCGCCGTCTTTGGCACATCTCACTCAACGGCCCCAGCCAAGTTCCTCTTTCTCAGAATTCCGCAGTACATTGGATAGAGATGGCCTGACGCGTGACGTTCTCGTTCGACTAGACACGCAGCTACTCGCTCGAAGCCTGTCGGTCTTCCACCTCAGGGCACTCAGCCAAGTTCCTAGCGATTTCACGGCGGAGCTGTGTTTCGGGCTGAATGGCGCGCAAAATGCCGACGAACCTGAGTCCGAGTCCTCCGTGGATAGTCCGCCCACTGGATTGAGTCATTTCCTTGGAAACGATGAAGATCCCCATTGGCTCACCAAGATGATACTGTTCCAAGTGTTAGTTCCCGAGTCTGGTATCCACAGTGCAGCACCGGCCGCATCCTCGCACTTATCCGACACTCGACATGCTCCTACTTCTCGCACGCATACTCGCTCTGAGGTCATTTCTGCTTGGGCAAGAGTTGGAGAAGTTTGTCGACGCACGGGTGACGAATGCTCCTGGCGGGCGATATTTTCCGCTTTGTGTTCTAGGCCCATCGCGCGATTAGAGAAGGTCTGGAGCCGTGTAGATTCGGATGCCATCTCTGTTGTTCAGTCGTGGATTCAGCTTAATGAGAAGGGCGATAGTTTCCAACAGAGCGTATCAGTCAGCATTCCTTGGGCAGGTGAAGCACAATACAAGATCAGGACAGTTCTGGAGCAAGCACGATGCAACGACGGAGAGGAGTGGAAAGTCGGTCCGCTTTCAATCGCTCGCCAGAAGTTCGAGGCGCTCCGCACTACGTTCTCCCTCTGCATGGGACGGGCGGTCCCAAACCACCAAGGAGATTTAGATGGCGTTGAATCTCTGGCGGCAGTCTGGCGGCGGTCCAGAGACGGCGAAAGTATCAGTGCTATGGCTTCGAAGTTTGTTCGGTGAGTCTCGACTACTTCGCTGTGATATGACCTCTTATGTCTGTCTTAGAATCGACCAGTTCATGTCTTTGTCTCTCGCTGCGGAACCACGACGAAAAGGCTTGTTTGAACCTTTCTATTGGACTCGTCCCGCCCAGCAACCGTCCCAGACGCTCACTGCTGTGCTCTTCCCCGAACCTCTACCCACAGTAGCGTTTATCAATAGGGATCTGATATCGCGTGGTCGTCTCGAGAGTAGCGCTAGTGTAAATGTGCAAGACTTACAGAATATGCGAGAAGTCTGGGCGAACGCTGGGGGGACTAGCACTATGAGAACGCAGAAGCCAAGAGTAAATGCCATCGATCTTGGCGGAACCATGCTTCCTGTGTACGATGGGGAACTTCTTCTTCTGGTCCAGCCGCTTGCAGAGGGCTCAACATCGTCTCGCCCTCCGTCTAGAGCACCATCTCGACCGCCTAGTGCGGTAGCAGAGTCGACGTCGTCGGAAAAGCCCCTCAATCGCAACCCGTCTATCCGCGTTTCTCCAGGCACTTCTCATGGTCTTGATCGCAAGCCAAGCGCACTCCGCCGCAATTCGCTCCCCTCACTTTCTCAGAGGACCAGTCTTGTAGGCCCCGAAGTGAGTTCCGACAAGCCTCTCCGAGTAGTTGTCCAGGCAGGCACTCTGGACCGCCTAGTTGACGTCCTCGTTCACGGCCTTCAAGGCGTATCTGTCGCGGTATCGGACGACAATGGAGAGATGCCCCTCACAGATACTAAGACGAGAGAAGTCAAAGTCGACATGGACGACTTCTCGAACGTCTGGTGGAATGGATATAGAAGCTTCATGACCCCACAAATTTTGTTTGAGGTCCGTATGTTTCGTACCATCATTACGGGCATCATTTGTAACATCTTTCCCATCTAGTTTTTGCGCAAACGGTATCTGAGTGCCCGTCTGACTCCCTCGCCATCGCTTGCTGCCATTAATGGGGTTGTCCGCTTACGATCAGAGGTCCTGGATACCATGACTGAATGGATGACTCGAGGCAGTGGCGCGCAGGATGTGCTAGATGATCTTCAGCTTTATAATTCCTTTCGCGCTTTCCTTAATCAACCTCTAGACCACGATCTGACGCAAATGATATCAGCAGATGACGAGTCTGGCCGCCGCGCTATAGCATCCCTTGATCAAATTAGGACAGCATTATACTCGTCTTTCGTCACCCAAACCTTAAGACCTAGCAGGACAGCTTCGTCTGACTCTACTCTGGAAGGATCAGAAAAGCGGAACTTTGGCTCCGAGATTCCAAATATCGACGAGATCGACGCCGAAGAACTCGTCAAGAACATGGATGCTATGGTTTCTGCGGCATTCCGTAATGTCAACCAGGAGGTAGATGCTTACCCTCGCTAATAGCTCTACTCTCTGATTATACCATACAGGACCTCTTTGTGATTGCAGATCTACTGGAAGTCCAGTCCGCAGATCGTACTGGCTGGTTCCTACCAAGAGAGCCTAGTTCCATCGCGGACGAAGTAGAGATCCAGTCTATGAACTCTTATATCGTGCAGATTGAACCGTCGAGCATGATCTCAGAGCTCACCCAGGATTCACTCTATCGTCTCCTGCCACCCTCCATTCGAAGTTGTATTAGAACCTTCGGTATTTTGCGCAAGTGGTTGATCTCGAAGCTTGTAGCGCCCAAGATTGGACTTCATGCTCGTCAGGTCAGGATGGAACTAATGCTTCGTGCCATTGAGGTTTGCCGTCTGCGGAATGCAGAATCTACCTCAACTTCGCTATCCCTCGCGTCACGTCCATGCGTCCGATCTTCGGTGGAAGCAATCGTCACGTCAGCAGTCCTGAGCGTGGAAAGTCGCCTTCACTATCGCGCGTGGCAGAATGTTGCAATTGCTCGTGGTGTAACTTGTGAAGCATTGACGTCCCTGTTGAGCAGATCAGCGATACGTTCTATCAGTTCCAGAGGGGTGTTAACGGTGGATGTAGGCTGGATTTTCGAGCGTATGCTAGAAATAATCAGCACTCCAGACGTATTGGAGTCTTCCAACGCGGAAAGTACCGGCCTCGTAAATTTCGACAAACGCAGGTAAGCCGCGTAAAGGGCTCTTGGTGATTATTTTGCTTGCTCATACGAATTCGCCGCCTTCAGATCTCTACATACATTGATTACGAGCACATCTAATTCCAATACAACCCGTAGGCTTCGACGCCGTCAACTAGATCGCCGCGATTATGAGCGTCTGAATAGCATCGAAAAGGAGTCAGCAGCTCTTCAATTTGATCTGCGGAGCATTCGTGAGGAAGCATATCGTGAAGCTACGCAGGCCGGACCTCTGGGCTCGAAAAAGAACTATCGGCCATTCCAACTTGTAGTCATGCTTCAACAGGAGAAGATCAAACGAGATCGCCATCTGCGTGATCGACTTAGCAGGGAGAAGAGGCAAGAGCAATTACGCAACGACAAGCGAGAGGAATATCTGAACAAGGCTATGAACGTTCGGAAGCAGGTCCCAGTTTCCCAGAAGCAGCATAGGAACAAAAAGAGCATGTCATCTGCGTTCTTCCAATTCATGCGACCCATCTCCAGCGCATTCTCGTCGGAAAGCCTTTCTTCTCCCGCAAAGCGTACACCTGCAGAGCTGGACTTCATCCCTAACCACAAGCCCTCTCTCGTTCTGAGCGTCGTGGACGCCAGAGTTGCGCAGTTCGTCAATACTGAGCGCTCGTTCACCTTCCAGTTGGATACAGAGGATGGGGGACACTATCTTCTCCAGGCGATCAACAAGCCTGACATGAAGAAATGGATGGATACGATTCAACATGTTTCAAAAGTGACTGCGAAGCGTCGACTGACGTACCTCGGACAGAACTCCAAGATGCAACTTTCTGATCATCTTTTAGGGCAGACCGTCGCAGCGTCAGAAGATCCAAGAGCAGGTCGGCGTGGTTCTATCAATATTGGGTATTGTATACTGACATACCTGCAGTGTTCGGAGTTGAGCTGGACATTCTCCTCCAGCGCGAAGCGGAGAATGGCGAAGTCCAACCTGGTGCGATCCCTACAGTACTGGAGCGTTTGATCTGTGAGGTCGAAAGCCGAGGTCTGACGGAGATTGGGATCTGTAGGTTCAATGTATACCTCGCCCTAAGGTTCATTGACCCATTGATTACAGATCGTATTGCAGGCGCCCATTCGGAAGTCAACGCATTCAAGGATGCACTCAATCGAGGTACGCTGGGGGTCACTCTGATCGGATTGTTTTGGCTGAATGCAGGAACAGGAGAATGGCCTATCACCTCTAATACCGATATACATGCTGTCTGTGACCTCATCAAATCCTGGTTCCGCGTTCTACCTGGAGGAATCTTCTCGGCGTCCTCGTACAACGAGATTCTGCAGGCTGTTGGTTCGTGGATGTGCTCTTCTGTATGATTGACGACTCACGATAATTGGACAGCACTCGATGGTACCGATCTCTCTGAAAGACTGTCCGGCATTCGGAAGGTCGTTCATGCCCTGCCTGGTGCCAATTTCGATCTTCTGAAACGTATTGTAGAGCATCTCGAGAAGTGAGAGATACAATTCTTACCCTACGATCTCGACGACTGACAATGGACCAATGGCAGAGTTACAGACTACGAGGAAAATAATCAGATGACGGCAGAGTCGCTGGCTACGGTGTTCAGTCCTAACCTTCTCCGCTCACCAAATAACGATATCAGTGTGTTTTTCGCCAACATGAGCGCAGGTCATCGGGTTACGAAGCTTCTTATCGCTCATGTAGGTCTTTCCGTTCTCCCGTAATATACAATGCAGGCTCACGGGTTGTTCTAGTTCCATAGCATCTTCGACACCGACATTGATCAAGAGGCGGAAGCCGACGTCGAGCCCGACCTTGACGGAGAGCAGGAACCAGAGCAAGACGAGTGCTATCTAGACGAACCCATTCCTGAAGAGGACGAAGACGTAGAATCGGATGTTCTCGTCGGCGACGAAGATGAGGATGAAGACGTGGAAGATGACAACGATGCTAAATCTTCCAACGCTGACGACAGCCTACTCAAGGTCTCTGCGGACCCTCCCGTGCTCGACATCAATCTCGGTAGCCCCCACTCTCTCTCATTCTCTGTGACTTCGTGACTGTAATAATTGTCCCATTTCCCCCATTACTGCTGTACGCTGTTGATGCAAGGACACATTCTTTTATGGACAACATTCTTTTCCCTGCAGCTCCTGCGGTGCTGCACCGAAGTCAATGGCTACGGTACTGTTACAGTAAAGTATTTTACATGTTGATATACCCTCACGATAGAAACCACGGACTAGGCTACGTGTTTAATTAGGTACGGTCATTAGTACTAGCAAGCTTAAGACGACCAGAGCGCTGCTTGTCGGTTGCTTGACCGTTAGTGACAGAGCGTCTATTATTATAATTATTCCCAAGTGTCGCTTGCCACGTGATATCCTCGCTTTCCCTTTCTCCTCGACGACGTCGACGACAAGCTAGAGCTCGAGTACGACACCTATCAGTTATAGGCAACACTTGTAGAATAAATCCTACTCTCCGACAGACCTTACCCTTTCGTTAGGCCCAATCCCTGCCCGGATGGTTCTACAGGTCGTCTATACCGCCGCGACCTCTCTTTTCCCATCAAAATACTACCTTCACATTGCTGTATCTGCGGGAGTCCTGCTGGTGACTTATGCATTCGCCCAAGGCCGCACCACCAACCGGGAGCGAGATCTCCACGCCCGAGTCATCATGATCACAGTACGTTCCCCGCTTCCCCTCCGCAGTATTGTAACCCTCACGTCCTCCGTCCTCCGTCCAGTAGGGCGCATTCACACCGCTCGGGCTGACGCTCCTGACCGCCCTCGCTGCGCGCGGAGCACACATCATCGCCGTCTCGCCTTACCCGCTCGACCACCCGTACCCGTCGTTGCTCATCCCGCTCTTGCGGAGCACCACGGGCAACGAGAACATCTTTGCCGAGTGCGCGGACCTCGCCAGGACGGCGTCCATACGGGAGTTCTGTACGCGCTTTCTCACAGGGGGCGACCAGCGCCTCGATGCACTCGTCTTCGCACACGAGTACCAGCCCGTAGGCACGCTGTTTGGCGGGCGGCAAGGTGCGAAAGAGCGAGCAGAGCGGCGGGAGAGGGCGTCGCTCGCGACTTTTCTGATGGCCACGCTGCTCCTGCCTGCGCTGCTAGTCGAGCCTGTCGAGCGCGACATCCGCATCGTCACGCTCGTGAACCCGTTCTACGCGGCGTCTGCACCTAAGTTCTCGAAGAACTTGTCTGAGGCCGGTTCGGACACGACAGCATCGACTCCGCTTTTCCTCGCGGAGGGATTCCGCGCGCTACGCACAGCGGTGCTCATGCGCCATCTACAACGGATTCTCGACTCGCTGCCGAACCGCGCGTCTGCACCTGCACCGAGCGAGCAGGAGGCGGGACAGGCGGAGGTGGGGCATCCCTCGAATATCATTGCTGTATCCGCGTGCCCTGGCATCAGCCGTAAGGATATCATTGCGCCGCTGCTTTGTGCAGAGCGAGACTCGGACGATGGGTGGTCGGTCTGGGGTATGGTCCTGTGAGTGCCCGCATGATCTATTACTCTCTGTCGACGCTTATGCGACCACTACACATGCCAGCTACGCCCTCCTCTTTCCCTTCTCCGCCCTCTTCATGAAGTCGCCGACTGCCGCAGCGCAGACGGTCCTGCATGCTCTGTTCCTCCCCACGCCGATTAAGCGTGCCCTCGCACATGTCGATGCGACGATCAACCCGTCGCCTGCTGCGCCCCCTGCACACTCCGTGACGGGGGACAAGACGGTCGAGCCGACGATCGTGCTCGAGGAGGTGCTTAAGCCCGGCGCGCTCTATCGCGAGTGTGCTGTGGTGCAGGTCGCTGTGCCGCCGCTTCTCATGTCTGATGCGCGTTCTGAGCCAGAGAAAGGGCGGACAGGGCGCAAGACTAATGCAGAGGAGTCTGCGGCGCCCGGGTTCCCGGACGATGGTGAGTTTGGGGGGGAGGCGGTTGGCAGGGCGGTATGGGAGTGGTATGAAGAAAGACTCAAAAGGTGGGAGGCATTAGAGAAGGCAGAGGGAGAGGTGGCGGGGAAGGCTTGATGGTTCGTTGTGTCGCTGTCGGTGGATTGCGGCTGTCTTGGACATTCAAGGCTTATATATTTGTGGTAAGACTCCCGAACGACATTTATTGGGTGTCACGTTGTGAGAAACTTCTGTTGAGTCGGTTATACATTTTGAGCAAATGTAGCTCCGATTGTGTGGCGCGCTCCAACCCAAATGGCAAGATGTTAGGTGAGTCTCGGTATACCTGTGAACTACTTCATAATCTGAATAAATCGTTCTACGTCTAGCTTGCGTCCGAGGTGACTCCTGTATGCAAACTCGAATGACCGGATACGCATATAATGCATGAGTACGGGGAGTTGTTTTTCTTCGGCATCGTGGGATTCCATGCCATCTTCCTGGTTGAAGAGAACACAACTGCCCGCCTAGTAGCTGGAGGGTCTTTAGTGCTTTCCGTTATCTAAGCAACCCAATCCGAAACAGCTGCTCGACGGCGCCACAAGCGGAAGTGCTTTATAGCACAGTGGATCCGCAAAAAATACCTCCAACTCCTAACGGATTTATACTTCGCCATCCTCTCGCATCTTCAGCCTTTGCGTCGGATTATATTGCTCGGACTTGAGGTTCACGTCCTCATCGCATTCAACCATGCGCAAGATGTTCACTCACGTCGTCTGCAACGGGTAAGTACGAGTAGGCAGTGCCTTCTGCTTTCACTTCGACATTGACAAGTACGAACGAGATACGAACAATTTTGACGACGGTTAGTTGGGTGTGAACGTGTGGGAGGCGTATGCTGAATTGAATCTACACCTTAAGCAAGTGTGGCTTTCGGATTGCATAATGCCTGAGCCCCAATCCAGACTCCAAGCTGTTAGGTGAGTCCCAATATACTTGTGATTGGTTTCAATACCTGAATATTTGCAATCGATTAAGCTCTTGTGTCTGGGATGCGTCCTGGGGCCTAGTGGTGGCATCATCTCACCTCGGAAGTCGTGCAACGCCGATATTATGACCTTGTTCAGATGTGCCTCCGCACTTCGTTTATGCTGAGCCGACCGTCAGACTTGCGTCCTATACTATTTGAAAGGAAGATTTAGGAGGTTCTGCGTGGTGGGAACAGTTCATCCCTCAGATGTCGCTGCGGTATTTTTGTTTTTGTGGATCTCCAACTCGGACGGCGACAGTCTTAAGGTGGGTATATGCGGCCGACAGTCCCCCTTGACCGCTGTTTGGGTCCTTGTGGAAGTATTGTCTGCCAATGTTCAATAAATATACATACCCATACCACAGAGTCGGGCACCAAGGGATCAAACGAATATGTATAACCTAAAATTAGAAAAAAGAACGCGAGAAAAGTATGTAGAGCTTCTCGCAGAGCCTACGCTTGAGGCCAGCGCTGCGCTTTGTTTGTCTCCCTGTTGATGCCAAACAGCAGCGTTGGTCCGTGCGCACGTCCGCCCTGTACAAAAGGGAGGCACTGTCCGTCTAAATTCCTCATACTTACCTTGATGGCACATCCCCCTTCACGTACCGGGAGTGTGGGCTGTAGGGGCCTCTCATAGCACGGCGACCATGTCCTCAGGGGGAGTCTGCGGTTTGTATGGGCTCCGGCTCATGCACCGTCTCAATATTTTCCTGTCCCGCTTCGGCCCTCGGGCTGGGCGGGCCATTATTTTTGTCCCAGGACTGTCCTAACCCTAACCCTATTCATGCTCTGTATTACAAAAAGTGTTCTATATGTGCTTTAAGCTTTTTGCTGAGTGAATTGATCTCATTGTTGGCAATTGTTCTTCTCTCTGTTCTGCGATTGAGGCATTCGATGTGATTCGTATTCGCAAATCTGTATATACACACTGAACCCATAGCCATAGCGCCAGGGAGACAAGAGCGATTGTCCGTCACTTGTTATCGACTCAATCGTTGCGAATGATAATAACCCTGGCACACGGAGTATCACGGACGCATATAATTTAGTGGTAAGGCCTCCACTAGTCAGATGTAATCTGTCAAGCATGGCGGATACAGGGTACGAACAAACACTATTACGACACCGAGGTCATACATATGTAAGATATCAGTCTTCGGACATAGGGTATACAAGCAATTAATAATCTCTACAATTGCAACGGTCTTAACTCTCATCCTGACCACTCGCATAGCCCGAAGCGGTCTCCATCCCCGAACTTGGAGTAGAATCGGTGTCGACGCCGTTGACAAGCACCCTGATCTTGGCCTCTTGCACCGGGTACATGTCCTCGGGAAGCAACCTGACCCGTGTCGGCTGCACGCAGTGATCCCTCAGTGCTTCGAGGACGTGCGGGATGACATCGCGGTGGATGTTCTCGCCCCAGAGCACGTCGAGGTGCTCGTATCCCTCTAAACAGCGCGCAACGGTGTGTGCGGGGAGCTCGCGGAGCATGACGTCGATGTCGACAAGCGAATCGTGGTCGCCGTAAAGGAGGACGATGGGCGAGACGATGTTGCGGGTCGGGAACCGCGCGGGAGCGTAGCTGGTGACGCCGCTCGGACGATGGCGGTGCGCCGTGCGGGGGACGCGGATGACGCGCTGGACCGCGTCGTCGTACATCTGGAACTTGGCGTTTCGCATGATCTGGAACCAGTGGACGACGCTCTTCACGGAGGCGTAGCTGTAGAGGTGCGAGTAGGCTGCAAGTTTCTGGAGGGCCGAGATGTTGTCGGACTTCCAGGAGAAAAGGAAGCGAAGCGAGTGTGTGATGATCTCACAAAAGACAGGCGGGTATAGCATCGAAGTCCATGCGGGCACGGAGGAGAGAATCGCTTTGCGCCCAAAAATGAGGAAGAGCAATGTTGGGCTGTTAGAAATCAGAGAATGTCGTCGTCATACAATAAAGAACCTACGACGCTTTCATAAGGCCGTCAACAATAGGTGCAGATAACCCGGCGGGACTCATGGCGGGAGCAAGGGCAATGAAGGCATTCACCTTGTCATTTAGCTGCGGGTGTATGCTGAGCGCGGCGAACGCCTGAGCCGTTCCTTGACTAAATCCGACGTAGCTGAGACTCTCTTCCTTGGTGACATGGAGGATATATTCGATCGAGTCGGGTATGTCGTGCCAGGCAAAATCGTCGATGCTGTAGTCCCAGAAGCGAGTGGCGTTTGGGTTATGGTGAATGCTCTTGCGCGAGTACTTGTTTCCCCGATTATTTCCAAGCCAGACGTCGAAACCGCGTTCGACGAGGGCAAAGGCGACGCTGCGGCGAGGGTCGGTGAGGCAGATCCAGACTTCACTGTTCATGAGGAGGCCATGGTGTAGATATACGACGGGCTTCCCGGTGCTCCGTCCGCGGCCCTCGCGTGTCTCCCCGCGGCGGAAAGGCAGACGGTGTAGACCGAGCAGGTACCCGTCCTTGGTCATGACAACATGTTCCTCGAACGTGTAGCCAAATATGTCGCAGAGGTGATCAAAATCTGGCGCACGGCGGACGCGCTCAGCAAGATCCCTTTCTGGCGACTTTGGAATCGGAGGCCCGACAAACAGGTGAAAAATAGGGCGCGAGCGGTTGTAAAACCATTTGATGACCGACTTGGGGAGGAAGGCGATGATGGTGGTGAGCAGAGTCTCGAGAACGACGGCGAAGGAGCCAACAAAGATGGCGGTATATTCGCGGATAGTGAGCCTGCCCACGAGCGGAACGTACGGCATCATAGACAAGAGCGTCGCCGGCAGCGGCGACGGTGGACAAGCTGTAGATTGAGACTGAGAGGCGCGCTCCTCTCGAGTTAGTGCCATTTTTGGGTTGCCACCGTTGCTCGCCGGCCGTCCATAGGGGTCATTCCAAATTTCTAGACAATTTTACCTTCACCATACACTTGCATTCCTCCAGCACCTCCTCGTAGACATGGGTAAAGAGAATCGCAGAAAGGGAATGTTTCTCAAGATCGAGTCGTTACAACGTCCGAGCCATTTCTGCACCTTTGGATAACTCAGCCACAGGAGCCCAATCGCGTTCGAGCAGATCAGTCCACGTTCATTTTCCCCCTTGGAGGCGCTGCTCAAGAGTATTTAGAGCCGACTACGACACTGCGATTACATACAATACGCGGCAAAATACTGAGGCTGAGAGGAATTTTGAGGCTGGAGCTGATCGGGGCATACAGGACAACGGCGAGGCAGAAGCTGAGAAAATGCTTGCTCGATTTGAGGAGAGCAAACAGGACGACCTTGCTCGATTCGAACGAAGGACTCTACAAGTTGAGAAAGAACTTACTGATCTTCAGTGGCGAGTAAGAGATATAGGTATTCAGCGCCCCAAGGAGATGATGCTAAAACTCTAAAGACTCTCCAGGAGCTCGCAAACGAGGTTGCTCGTGCTCTCAAAGGGCTCTACGGCCTTGATTTGGCCGAGATGTTCTGGAAGAACCGCCAGCCATGCTGAGGGGTTGATACTGGAATGAGTGGTCTTTTTCATGTGAGGTCGACGCGATAAGGCTAAATGTACACATGCTCCTGCACACACTCGTTGTCGGATGCTGATCAACTGGAACTACCACAAGTCATCGATGCTGGTTGAACAGAAGATTTCCTCCGCGTTGCAACAAGGTCTACGAGTAATACGCGTGATGAAGTCAACATCGCCAGGTTTCTGTCCTCTGGAGCTAGCGAGAGATCCCACAAACCACTGAACCCCCGCTCGACGCCCTGCCGGACCCATTTGATGAAGACCTCTCTTTGGTGGTTATGCCCTATCTCCGCCCTTTCGACGACCCAGCATTCGCCGCAATTGGCGAGGTTGTGAGCTTTGTACAGCAAACTCTTGAAGTGCGCGTTTCTGATGTTCCCATTCCATCTGCACTAACCGCCGTGATCAATCTCTCACTGGGCACTTGCCTTTATGCACAAGCATCGTGTTGCGCATCGGTAAGTCGGAGATTCCGAACGCACCTCCACGCTCACCACTACAGCACCTAGCCCTTGTGTAGCCGCCAATATCATGATGGACGGTCGGCCAATCTTCCTGATTGTCTGTTCACAGCCACATTTACTGGGTCATAGGAGCAGCTTTCAACAGTCAATCAACATCATTCCAATAGCATCTACAACAACTTGACATGGACAGTATTTATATTGTCATGTATGCTCTGCTCTCTTGGTAAGTATGCACACTGTCACAGAAGATTACTGCTTCAAGAAGAATTGAGACTGAACACAGCACTCACCACTGAGATTTTGGTGTTGGTGGAGAGGAGAGATATCACAACACGCTTAGAGACTCACCTTTAGTGTTGTAGGAGTTGAAA